GGTAAATCTCTCCCATTGACATGCCAACAGCAATCAAGGCTCAACTACAAGAGGTGGGTGTACACAGCCCACAAGTGGGACACACCTCGAGCGCCCAGTTTGGGTGGTTGTAAAGTCTCTGCCACTGGACCCTAGAGAACACCTAATGCATCGGGCCACTCTACCAAGCCTCAAAGACATAGCAGCTCTACATGATACATAGAAACAAACACAGGGAGGATGCCAAAATGAGGAGACAAAGAAACATGTCCCAAATGAAAGGACAGAAAAAAACTTCAGAAAAAGAACTAAACAAAATGGAGACAAGCAATCACTTAGATGCAACGTTCATAAAACTGGTTATAAGGATGCTCAGTGAACTTTGTGAGAATCTCAACTGCATGAAAAAGGAACAGTCAGAAATGAAGGACACATTCACTGAAATGAATAATTTACAGGAAATCAATAGTAAAGTAGATGAAGCCAAGAATCAAATCAGTGATTTGGAATACATGGAAGAAAAAAATACCCAATCAGAATAGCAAAAAGAAAAAATAATTAAAAAAAAAAAGAGGATAGTCTAAAGGAGCCTCTGGATGTGTCAGAAGAAGACAGAGAGCAAGAAATTGGAAACCTATTTGAAAAATAATGACAAACCTCCCTAACTTGGTGAAGGAAATAGATATAAAAGTCCAGAAAGTGCAGAGAGTCCCAAACAAGATGAACCCAAAGAGTCCCACACCAAGACGCATCATAATTAAAATGCCAAAGATTAGAAACATAGAGAGCACCTTAAAAGCAGCAAGAGAAAAGAGCTACCTACAAGGGAGCTCCTATAAGACTGTCAGCTGATTTCTCAACAGAAACTTTGCAGGCCAGAAGGGAATGGCAAGAAATATTCAAAGTGATGGAAAGCAAGGACCTGCAACAAAAATTACTCTAACCAGCAAAACTATCATTTAGAATGAAAGGACAGATAAAGAGCTTCCCAGACAAGAAAAAGCTAAAGGACTTCATCACCAGCAACCCAGTATTATATAAAATGTTAAAGAATCTTCTTTAAGAAGAAAAAGAGATAAAAAAATATGAATAATAAAATGGCAATAAGTACATATCTATCAACAATTGAATCCAAAATAAAATAAATGAACAAGTAGAACAAAAACAGATTCATAGATACAAAGAACATTTTGACACTTGCCTGGTGGGAGGGGGGTTGGCAGGATGGGTGAAAAAGGTGAAGAGATTAAGAAGTACAAATTGGTTGTTACAGAATAGCCATGGGGAAGTAAAGTACAGCATAGGGAATACAGTCAATAATAGTCTAATAGCTATGTAGGGTGTCAGATGGGTGCAAGGTTTATCAGGCTGATTGCTTAGCTATGTAATGTCTAGCCACTGAGGTGTACACCTCAAAATAATATAATAATGTATATCAACTGTAATTGAAAAATTAAAAAAAGATATAAAAAAGAGCTTTTTTTCTGAAATAGTCCCCTTAAAAGTAAGTATTCTTAAGTACAGGTCAGAAAATATTCTATTAATAACTATCAATTAAATGTCTACTATGTGTCAAGGACTCTGCTAAATATCATACAATGTTTCATTTCATCCTTTCAACCAATTAAACCTAAATGGTAGTTATATATATGCCTCAGTTTACCAATGAAGAAAGCAAGGCTGAGAATAAATAAATTGTCCAAGATAAAACGAGTAAGTGGTGATCTAGGATTCAAATCTGGGCTTGAATGGTTATTATAAACTATACTACACTGCCTCTCAACATATATTGAATCTATAATATCTACCATTTACGGAGTTATCAAATGTTTGGTAACTAACCAAACTAGTTTTCTAAATAGTTTACAGTATTTCATTCAAACTCCTCAAAATTCTATGTGAGTCTTCATTTTACCAGGAGGGCATTTGTATGATGGCAAGTTTCAAGGAACTTACCAAAAGGTCACATGTATAATAGCAAGAGAGCCAGGATATGAACCCTGATATGACCCCAAAGCTCATACTGTTGTAAGCTAGTTCACTTAATCCCCCTAAAGTAGCCTTCCATATAGGCATATTTATAACTCTCATACCCAGAATAATACTTCAGCTGTGGTTAGTTGAGACTGATTGTCAAACATTTTAATATTAACTTTATTAGTTTAGCATGCTCTAGCAGTTTGTATTCAGCTTTAATTTAGTTCAATACTTCAGTCTTCCATTTAATGTAATTAAATCTGGTCTCTACATCAGGTTGCTCTCACTCTGCTCTTAGCTGATTTTGAAACTAAGTGTACATTTAACATTCTGCTACATTTTTTTATTGTGCTAACATATACATAAAATTTACAATTTTAACTATTTTTAGATGTATAATTCAGTGGCATTAAGTACATTCACAATGTTGCACAAGCATCATCACTATTCATTTGTAGAATGTTCTGCTAAATTTAAACTTTAAATTAAGATTCGTTGTATTAGCTAAACGTTAAGTGCTGTATCACTGAAAAGTTTAAACATTCTTTGTGTGCCGAAACCGGTTTGGCTCAGTGGATAGAGCGTCGGCCTGTGGACTGGAGCGTCCCAGGTTCGATTCCGGTCAAGGGCATGTACCTGGGTGGCAGGCACATCCTCGGTGGGGGATGTGCAGGAGGCGGCTGATCGATGTTTCTCTCTCATCGATGTTTCTGACTCTCTATCTCTCTCCCTTCCTCACTGTAAAAAATCAATAAAATATATTTAAAAAAAAAAAACATTATTTGTGTGTTATCGCTGATGAAGCCATCCTGTGTGCATTACTGATGAAATTGTATTAAATAGTACCTTGAAACACTCCACCAAAGACCTCCTTCCAGGTCAACATGTATAATTAATGAAACATTCTTTAAGTGTCAAATGCCTTGTACAAACAAAAACATTCTAAGTCTATGCCTTTCCCTCTGTTCATAGCCATCATTCTTCTATAGACTAATAATCCTCTCTATATACATATATTTATACCTAGTGACTTCATTTTTTGGCTTTCATAATTTATTCATATTTTTATGATTCTTAGTGAAGCTATGCAGGCTAAAGTGTGTGTGTGTGTGTGTGTGTGTGTGTGTGTGTGTGTGTGTGTGTATATATATATATATATATATATATTGATTTTTTTACAGAGAGGGAGAGAGATAGAGAGCTAGAAACATCGATGAGAGAGAAACATCGATCAGCTGTCTCCTCTACACTCCCCACTGGAGATGTGCCCGCAACCAAGGTACATGCCCTTGACCGGAATCGAACTTGGGACCTTTCAGTCCGCAGGCCGACACTCCATCCACTGAGCCAAACCAACTACGGCAAAGTATACCTTTTTTCCCCCCTAAATGTTTATAATCCATTTTATAACAACTCTGGACATTTAAGTCACTGTAAGTACCAAAAAGCTGTTTTTAAAATATATATATATATATGTATTTATTGATTTCAGAGAGAAAAAGGGAGAAATAGAAACCTCAATGATGAGAATCATTGATCGGCCTCCTGCATACCTTCTACTGGGGATTGAGCCCACAACACAGGCATGTGCTTTATCAGGGAATCTCCTGATTCATAGGTTGACGCTCAACCACTGAGCTTACTGGCTGGGCAAAGGGCTTTAAAAAAAATTATTTAATGTTGCCTTTAATAGCAATTTGAAATTAGATTTGTCGAGTCCTTGATTTTTATTTGGTATTAAACTGAATAACCTTGAATATAAGAAAATATTTTTATTGATTGATTGATTTTTTAAAGAGAGAAAGAGGGAGAGAGATCGATTCGATTTATTGTTCCATTTATTTATTATTATTTTTTAAAATATATTTTATTGATTTTTTACAGAGAGGAAGGGAGAGGGATAGAGAGTTAGAAACATCGATGAGAGAGAAACATCGATCAGCTGCCTCCTGTACATCCCCCACTGGGTATGTGCCCACAACCAAGGTACATGCCCTTGACTGGAATCGAACCTGGAACCCTTCAGTCCGTAGGCCGACGCTCTATCCATTGAGCCAAACCGGTCAGGGCTATTCCATTTATTTATATACTGGTTGCTTCTTGACCGGATATCAAACCCACAACCTTGGCCTATGGGGACAGACGACGCTCTAACCAATTGCGCTACCCCGCCAGGGCCTATAAGAAAATATTTTAGAAATACACTTTAGAAAAGGTAAACCTTAACTTTAAAAAAAAATACTGGATATAAAAACATTGTCTATTCTTCAGGGTTTGACTCATTATCCTACTATCCTAATGGTATTAACAGCTATAGTGTTAACAAATAAGTGTTGAGGAACCTGAATTTAGCAACCCGGGAAGATCTTACAATAGTTCTGTAATTGAAAATGTACTTTATAAATAAAAGCTGGTATGGTGATCACATTACTTTTTTTCATTGTTCACTAAATTTAAAAACTTATATAATGGACTGTTTATCAAATTCTTAGGCTACAAAATAAATATTAATGCAAAAAAAAAATAAACACGAAGTAAACTTTTAAGAGACAGTTAAAACAGTACTATTTTATACAGCAAGTATAAAGTATAGGAAGTCTGGGCATCTTTTCAATCTTTTTCTCAGCAAGCTTTGTTAATCCACCACGAACCTAATGAAGTTTGTAGTATAATACATGATTCCATACCAGTGAAGGGTAAAATAGTCCTCCCAGAAAACAGCTTTCAGTGCCTCTCTTAACATGAGCAGAACCCAACTACCATAGGACTAGGTAACCCAGCTGGTCAAAGTTTTCACACCACACGCCTAACTAAAGGCTGAAGCGAAAGTGGAAATACATTAAACTCAAACACTGTTCTCCTGCCTCAAGTAGTTTATTGGTAGTCATTCTCCACATTTCTATAAATATAAACATTCTAAGTGACTGTCACTAGTGCAGGTACATTTAATATATGTAAGTAGCTCCACAGGAAGCTACTTCATTGGTGTGTGTAACAAGAATCAAGGCTCCAAAACTCAGCTGTGCCACAAAAAAAAACCCCAAAATACCTTGTTAACAAAGTGAATTTCTTTTGGTTATCTTCATTACAAATAAATGTTGGCTTTACATGTAGAAATTATGTTGATTTGTTCATATATGATCACTGGAAGTTAAGTCTTTGCCTGTAGATAAGAATTAGATAAAGGTTTTTCCTCCTTTTAATTTATAGGGTTTGTGCATTCCAATGTAAACAGCACCAGTGAATTTCACAAAACACAGCTTTGCTACTTTCCCCTTCATTTTCTATAACTGTAATTCTTTTCTGCAGTACTGTATCATTTCTTCCTACCTTATAATCAGGACTGTTCTGCCTGTGTAACACTGTTGTTTGTAAACAAAAAATTAAAGCTCAGAGTATAAGATAAGATTATCTCTTACATTTTTCACTCCACAGTGCATCAGGTGCTGTTTATAAAGCTATTGCTCCTTTCAAAACATTACAAAAATATATGAAAAATCACATCTGTGTTTAGCCAGCGAATGTTAATAAAGCATTTTACAACTGGAATACTTTAAAGACCAAGTATTGCAAATTACATCCTCTTGTCTGAATTCATCAATTGCTTTTTTCATAAATCCAGGCATACATCCAAACATACGCATTTATAACAAGTCTACATGCCCAAATTTAGTATATGAAAGAATTAAGTGAAATTAGGTTTTCCAAGTAGAAGTGCTTCTGATAACAAACTATTTCTAAATCCCCTGCCCCCCACCAAAAGGTGTCTTAAACTTGACTGTGTAGAAAGATGTATAGCTATTTCTAAAAAGTAGAAGACTACACACCAAAACATGCTGTGTTGGGAGAACTAATCCATGCACTTGATTTGAATATGCCTCAAATAGCTCATCTTTATTAATTTAAGTTAGACCAACTTAAACATTGTCTAGAAATAAGATACAGCATTACATTATTTGACTGCAGAAAATATCAAAATTCATTTGGCCAAAACTTAAAAAAACAAACATTTCCGTTTGTCCCTTACTAGGTGGACCAATATAACCAATATTACTGTATATATATTAATCTACCTTAACATTTCCATCCATTAGCATTTTATCTTTACATAAAAAGCCTTGTAAGCAATTTCCTTGCAAAGCCATTCCCCTCCCCCACCCCCGCCCCTCAAGAAAACATAAGCACAAAACACTAGGCAGACATTCTTCTTCAAAGTTTTATTTCTCTAACTTCAGGTCAAATTTCAACAACTGTTTTCTGGTCAATTTACTATCCTTGCTTGGCTTCCCAAAATGGCAGTACCAAAAGATTTGTGGGGTAGGGAGAAGAGACCATTTTAAGAAGCACTGCATTTACTCATCTTCCACAAGGAAACAGAGTTGGGCATCTGACTGTTCAACAAAACAAAGCTTTAACAGCATCCAGAAGGACAGGCAGGCAAACCAGGCTTCCATTTGTCAAAATCAGACCAGAGGAAATCTACTCCACACAGATATGAAAGGTTATCACCACTCATCTTTTCTTTTTCTGTTGCCGCAGCATTTTTCTTCTTTTAATTATCATCTCATGTAGTTTCTCCAGTCCTTCCTTGAGTCCATCGCCTATGATTGCACAGGTGGGCTGCAAATGCCAGGGAGTTGACGAGGTCAGTTCCCCCATTGCTAACAATTTCTCAATTTCTGAGAGAGACAATGAGTTCCTCAGGTCTTGTTTGTTAGCAACTATAAGTACAGGGACTCCTTGGTTTTCTGATATCCTAGTTATTTTATGAAGTTCGGTTTTCGCTTCTTCCATCCTTTCAACATCAACAGAGTCCACAACAAACACAATGCCGTCCGTGCATCTGGTGTATGACTTCCACAGTGGTCTTAATTTCTCCTGACCACCTACATCCCAGAAGTGAAAAGTGACTGTCTTAGAATTTCCCAAGGTTACCTTAATTTTCTCGGTGTTAAATCCTTTGGTGGGCACAGTATTTACAAATTCGTTGAACTGCAGCCTGTATAACACAGTTGTTTTTCCAGCACAGTCCAAACCCAGAATAACAATGTGATAGGACTGGAACGAGGGCAGGCTGGACAGGATAGAAGTTTGGTCTGACAGTCCATTCCCCATTTCCAGTTGCAAGTAAGTGTTCCAAATTGAAAGGCTTTCTTCTCAATGCTTTACAACTTTTCTTCCCAGGGGATCCAGCTACCAGACTGCTGAGGGGGGTAAATGAATAAGTTATTCTTGTGGAAAAAAAAATGCACGGCTTTTCTCTCTTTGTATAAAATAAGCAACACGAGGTACCGGATAAATAAAACGTGCTTCAGTAAACAAACCAAATGAGATATGAAACGTACGCAAACCGAGGCAAAGGAGAGAACAATCACTGATTGAAATTCTTTAACATTCAGTGAAGTTGCAGTAATGCGTACTTTTCTCTACCCCTCCCTGCCCCCTTGAGTCCCCAAACCTCAAAGACTTCACCCCGGAGACAACCTAGCCACCACCAACCAGTCCAGGTTGCAGTAACCATACAAGTGCCTTTTTTTGGCTGAAAACACACATCCCATCTAGAGGAGCTAATTCCGTATATTTAAAAGCATGCCCAAGGTCACTGGTACCCTCCCACCTTACGCACCCCGCAGAGAACCCCCCAAGGCTCACCTCCCGAACTGGACTCTCCCAAGGAGAAAGCATTGGTAGGCGTCGCTACGCGGTGGGGAGAAGCCCCGCGCGGCCGCTCAGCTCGGATGTCCACGCAGCTCTGGCGCTCGCTGCACTGAAACCCTGGTTTCAGGCTCGGCCACGCCCACCCCTCACGGCCCACCCAGGAGCCCCAACCCCATTGGCCGCCCGCGTCAGCTCGTCCGCGCTAGGCCCGCCCCCGCGCCCTTGTCGGGGGAGTAACTGCCGCTCCCAGCGCGGCGGGGCCGGGCTCCCCGTAGGTCCACACGCACCACCTGTTGCCCTCAAGTTAGAAAACCAGGCGCCCGCGGAGGGAGCCGAGCGGCCCCTGCAGGACAGCGGCGCCCCGGCCGGTCCGTGGGGCCGCCAGCCCGCCGCCCCGCCAGCCCGGGCGCACCTGCAGCGCGGCCCACGGGCGCCACTCGGCGGCTCGCACATCCGGGGCCGCGTCGCCGCCGGCGCCTTAACCCTCCGCTGGCGGGAGGGACCCCCCAGCGGCCGCGCTGGCTCCCCGGCGAGCGCACCCGACCCGCGACACCCAGCGTCCGCGCAGCCGGAAGCCTTCCCCTCGCCCCTCCGCACCCCGCCAGCGAGTCCGCCTCGACAGGGCGTGGCCATCGCCGCCGCCCGCCCGCCCGCTGCGCTCACCTGACGGACCGTCCGCGTCCCACATCGCTCACTGCCCCTCGGGAGCGCGCTGGGACCTGCGGGGGCACCGGCGAGGCCGGGCCGGGGCGGGGGCCCAGACGCCGCTGCGAGAGGTGCCGGGCGGGCGCCGGGGCCAGGCTGCCCTAACGGTGCTCCGCCGACCGCTCCCGAGCTGCCGCGGCCCCGCCCCCTCGCCGGCGCGGGCCAGTAGGGGCGGGCGGGCGCTGGTCGCCTAGCAACCGCAAAACAAGGTCACGTTCGGACCCTCCCGGCGCTGCGGGCGCGCGCGAGCTCGGGTGGGGCTTCAGGGTTCCGCCCCGCGAGCCGTGGCTTTCTGCAGCCCACGGCTAGGGTCAGGCGGGCCCCACCCACCCACCCACACCCCACCCTTGTCCCAGCCCGCGCCGCGCCGTCTGTCTATCCGTGACGCAGGTCAGGGGTTCCAGGGGACACCCGCCGGGCGGGCCCCTTATATAACGGGTGACTGGGACGTGCACTCAGTCACTGCCCTGAGTGGCCTGGACCTGACTGGTGTCTGAAACGCACCTTTCTTTTGCAAAGCAAATAAGTACTCTCTTTGCGCTTGATCCTAGCAGCATGTCTGTGAGGTGGCGACGGATAGAAATAGCCCGATTTCATAGATGAGGACATACACGGAAAAATTAAATGGCTGCTTCTAATGACCCAAGGAAAATTAGTGGTGGTCCTGGAACTTGATTTTAAAGTTTACTAAGAAGGCAGGGGAGGGTGGGTGGATGGAAGGTGATCAACCAAAGGACTTGTATGCATATATGCATAACCCAGGGACACAGACAATGGGGCGGTGAAGGCCTGGGGCAGGGGCGGGGGCAGGCTGGAGGGGGTAAATCTCGGGGGACAAGGGGGACATATGTCATACTCTCAACAATAAAGATTTTAAAAAATAAAGTCTACTAGTCATTAAATGCATAATGCCTTCTATTGGATAACTCTGACTAAGTGCAATTATGTATTTGACCCATAAATTTGCAAATATTTTTTGAACACCTAATAGGCAGTAGGAACAATTCTATGTGCTTGGATGTAGAATGGTGAGCAAGTGCAGACATTGTCTCTGCTCTCCTGGAATACTGAAGTCTTGTGGGAGAAAAAGAAAGTAACCAGATTTCCATATGAATAAATTTAACAAAATGTGATTGTTGATGATGTCAGAGTCTTTGTGACAATAGAGAAGGAATGGTACTTAAAGTTCTGAGAAGGCATTAATGAACAAACATCTTTTGGTGACGTTGCAAGTTTGGAACTTGGGAGAATCTATATGGTGCACTTTATTTTTAAAAGTTTACACTTTTTAAATATTGATTGAAATGTCCTTAAATGTCCTGATTTTTCTCAAGACCATTATTGCTAGTGATATTTATCTCCTTTATGACTAGCATAGGAACAGTACTTGTTCTACTTGATTTTAAATAACTGACATAAAGCCTAAGAACTAAGCATGATGCTATTTCCAAGACAGTCACATTAATTTTGAAAATAAAGCTAAAAGCCTCAAATTGCATATTTTACCAAGTTATTAATTGAATCCAGTATAAGGTAAGACTTGTTTTATTAGTTATAATTGTGGACTCCCATTAGCCATCCTATATAATAAAAGGGTAATATGCAAATAGTTCGAACTGCAGAACAACCGAACAACCAATCAAAGAATAATATGCTCATGATATGCTAAGGCTGCTCAACCACTCGCTATGACATGCACAGACCATCAGGGGGCAGACAGTCAACTGGTCAACCAGTTGCTATGACGTGCACTGACCACCAGGGGACGGATGCTCCAACCGATAGCTTAGCTTGCTTCTGGGGTCTGACGGATCAGGACTGAGTGAGATGGGCTGGACACACCCTGGAGCCCTCCCATGGCCCCTCCCTGGCCTGATCATGCAGCGGTGGGGTCCCTTGGCCTGGCCTGCATCCTCTCGCAATCTGGGACCCCTCGGGGGATGTTGGAGAACCAGTTTCAGCTAGATCCCTCAGGCTATTCCCTTTGGGAGGGCACCAGACACAGGGCTCATAGCTGGTGAGTGCTGCGGCGGCGGTGCGAGCCTCTCCTGATCTGGACTGATTGGGCGCGACCCCATGGCAGGCACAGAAGGGGCCTGGATGAGCAAGAGCGGCAGGTATGAGCTGCAGGTGGCATTGGACTGCAGGTTTTGGCCCAATCCCTGCAGGCCACCCAGAGACACGCCCCCCCCCGCCCCCGCCCCCCCACATGAATTCGTGCACTGGGCCTCTAGTATACAATAACCAGTAAGCAAGTGATAAAGGGCTTAATGCAATGACTAAGTCTAGTCCAGCCGTGGGCAAACTACGGCCTGAGGGCCGGATCCGGCCCGTTTGAAATGAATAAAACTAAAAAAAAAAAAGACCGTACCCTTTTATGTAATGATGTTTACTTTGAATTTATATTAGTTCACACAAACACTCCATCCATGCTTTTGTTCCGGCCCTCCGGTCCAGTTTAAGAACCCATTGTGGCCCTCGAGTCAAAAAGTTTGCCCACCCCTGGTCTAGTCTTTTTCTTGGAAATTTAACAGGATTCATTATTAAACTGGAAAAATTTGCAGATTCTCATTAAAACAAGACTTAAGAGCATGATGCAAGGACAGCTTTCTGTTTACAAAAGCTTTGGAATCAAGTAGGTCCTTCCCATAGTAGGTGCAGGGGTGCATTTCTGCAGAGACTTCCCTGGAGCGAAAGGTGAGATAGGAGAACACTGAGAGCTTCCAGCCTTGCAGAATCACCTCCACTGAACGGCACGCTAACGTTAGAAGCAAGCTTATAACTAGAACGGGGTGGCAAATTACAGCCTGTGGGCCAAATTTGAGAGATAAGAATGTTTTTTACATGTTTAAAGGGCTGCAGCAGGAAAGATAAGAATGTGCATTAGAGACTGTCTGTGGCCCACAAAACCTAAAAATATTTGCTCTCTGGCTCTACATAGGGAAGTGATACTCCTGCTTTATGAGCAATAACAATCATATAAAACTGCAACAAATGATATAAAAAGTGATGAAATTTATGAAATACACTGTCCACTTTGTAGCACAATGTTCCTGTAGAAGGCCCATTCAGATCTTATATTTAGATGCTATGCCAGGAAAATGCTCCCTTTAGGCTATATTTCATCAACTGTGCTGAGCAGCTCAGGGAACTCATGGGGATTCTATAGAATATTTTACTTTTTGAGGGAAACATAGTGCCATCTGTTGGACATTTTATTTTAAAAAAATACATATATATATATACACATATATATACGTATATACATATATATGTGTGTGTGTGTGTGTATATATATATATATATATATATATATAGATAGATAGATATATAGATATAGATTGATTGATTTCAGAGAGGAAGGCAGAGGGAGAGAGAGCTAGAAACATCATTGATGAGACAGTATCATTGATCAGCTGCCTCCTGCACGCCCTCTACTGGGGATAGAGCCTGCAACCTGAGCATGTGCCCTTGACTGGAATGGAATCCAGTCCAGGACCTTCCAGTCCGCAGTCCAACGCTCTATCCACTGAGCCAAACCAGCTAGGGCTGTTGGACATTTTAAAAACTACAAATATTAAGGTGTCTGGATCTATCTATATAAATGGAAGCTTGGATTATTTCTTTCGGCCTGAGCCACCATGAAAAAATTACTGAGACACTAGGGACTGTGTGAAACTCTGTCTTTATTTCTGATTTTCCAAATTGGCTAATAATAAGAATTACCTGGTAATGTCTGTAAAATTATAGATTATGCCAAATCAGAATAATCAGGAGAGGGACTAGTGATCTGTATTTTCAACAAATATCTCAGGTAATTAATGATTCAACATTCTGAGGAAATGGGTAAATTTTCTCCCTTCAAAAAAACATAATCCAACTTAAAAATGGGCAAAGGGCCTGAACAGATATTTTCCCAAGAAAGATATAAAAATAGCCAACAGTTACAAGGTTGCTCAACATCACTAATCATCAGGGAAATGCAAATCAAAACTACAATGAGATATCACCTCTCACCTGTTAAAATTGTTGTTATAAAAAAGACAAGAGATAATATGTTGTCAAGGATGCATAGAAAAGGGGAGCCCTTGTGTATTGTTGGTTTTCCACTATGAAACACAATATGGAGGTTCCTCAAAAAAATTAGAATAGATACATTATATGACCCAGCAATCCCACTTCTGGGTATATCTTTTAAGGAAATCACTATCTTAAGAGATATACACACCATGTTTATTGCAGCATAATTCACAATATGTAAGACATGGAAACAACCTAAGCATCAATGGATATTTGGATAAAAAAGTTGTGATATGTATAATTTTTAGCCTTAAACAAGAAGAAAACTCTGCTATTTGCAAAAACATGGATAAACCTGGAGGTCATTATACTAAATAAGTCAGATAAAGA